ATGAATCTCTTACACTGTTGAACACAGTCAGTTTTTGATTACTTTATTTGTTTCTCAGATACAGTACGTTCAATCAAACTGAAACTTTTCTTTCACAGTTCTTGGACACTGTTTAAGGTGTAATTTTTTTTATTTTAAAATACATTGCACTGTTGATGTTTGTCAGATTTTACAGAAAAAATTCTAGTAGAACAAGAAAATGTGTTTTTGGAGCCGCGCTCCTTATTTTGATCATTGTATTCAAATGAATGGAGATAAAAAGAAACCAAAAAAATTAGGCATCCCAAACAATGTCTTATATTTGTAAAAAAAATTCAACTCTATCGGACGTATTGTGACTGAGAAAGTGGAACAGTTTTTAGCCGTTGTGACCTAGATATTTCGTAGAAAGAAGTATTTAAGAATTCGGAGTCTATGAAAACTTGTGTTTTACTTAAGCCCGCCTAAAAAAAAAGTCAATTTTCTTCAGCAAAATCGGAATTGATATAAATGCATGGGAAGATAGTCTGAGGTCTCATCTTTCATAAACAACATGATTTTTTTTATTTGACACGTCGTCTTCTCCAAAAACTTTTGATGATTTCCGTCACTTCCTGCTTGAAAAATATGGTTTTTTTTTAAAGAAAAAACAAGGCCATTTTTTGCACTTTTTTGATCTCACAATTCACAAATCTCTGTGAGTCTTCATTTTATATAGTTAATTTTTTCTTCGCTTGAAAGAGCATGTCAACATATAGGTCATGAGGAAGCCCCTTTTCTGAATTGAACTTTGTTACTGTTATTTAAAAGAAAAATTTTATAATTAGCGACTCTTGTTTCAAGACATTGAACTTTTCTTCGCTTAAAAAGTAAGAATTTACAAAACAAGAGCTCTGATATGTGTCTCAAATAAAAGAAAATAAATATATAGGATGAATATTCATAGAGAATTATGGATTACCGAATGATCCTCTTGTTTGTTGAATATTTCCTGAAAACATCTTGACATAGGCCTGAAAATTTTACAATAGCTTTTCCACTATAGTCTGAACATATTTTGAAAGTTTCATGCGATTTGAATGCATCTGACCCGAGATCGATTTTTGAGGAGAAGAAATCTTTAATGATAACAAACGTGCAGTGCTGGATCCAATGCACCAAGGTTCAAATGTATTATTGATTATAAGAAAGCTTTCAACATTTTTATTTTACTATTATTTATCGATTTGCTATTCTATACAATACAATAGAAGGTTATTCTAATGGTTTTATAATCGAACATTATATGTATTATGCAGTATTATTTAACCATAAAAACACCTGATCAATGATTGTCTTTATTTCGATAATATATAGTTCTAAATTTTATTTTATCAATTATATATATATATATATATATATATATATATATATGTATTAGAATATGATACAAAATCTGTGTTTTGGTTACAACAATAGTATTTATTGGTTAACCTAAAATTAGAAATGATTATAGAACATTACGTTTTCGTAGAATTGTTTTTTTTTTCATAGTCTTGTTGATTGTCTGTCATATTCTTTTGAATGTGGAACTTTCTTAGATTCAATAAATGATATGGAAAGAACTTTGTTTTTTTCAATAACAATATAAATTAAGCTTATTTTTGATTTCTATTAATAGTTAAATATAATGAAAAAAAATATATTTAACGTATACTTTTGAAGTAGTCATCTTTGATCATTTCATTCAAGATCTTTTTCAAAAAAAAAAGAAAAAAGAAAAAAGAAGAAAAATCTACATATATTATTGAGCAAATAAAAAACGTTCATGTCGTTTACATATTTCATCAAGTGGAAAATTGCCATAACAAGTATCATTGATTGGTCGACTCGAACTTTATGCTTATGAGCTTAAATAAGAAAATTTTGTTTTCTATTTAACCTTTTCCTATAAAGAATAGACGAACTTAAGGTTAATATCAATCCTTATTAAAGTCTTAATATTACAGGATACTATGCTTAGATAAAAGATCATATATACTATAGTTTGATTAATATAAATAGTTTTTGATTTGAAGTTAAAAAGACCTCTGTACGTTTTTTTTTTTAGATGAATTACTTATGTAATAGAAAAAAAAAACATGCGTGCATCATACGCTAGTGCAACACATGTCCAAACTACTCATTTCGAAAACATCGTCTCGATGACACAACGAGAGCGATAAATAATAGAACGAAAAAAAAATTGCGAAGAATAATTGTCAGGTTTTATGAGTCAAACAATACTGTTTATCGTTTACTGATGAGTCAATGTATTTTCGTTGTTATCTTTGTTTTACCTGGTGTTAAGTAACCAGTAATGATTGAATCATGATGTTTGTCCATGAAACTAATCATTTTTTTCTTTTCCCTTTCTACTTATAGATGAAGTAAAACCAGTTATTTTTTTTTTTTGGTTTTTTCTTAGGCGAATATTTTGATTGCGATGTTTATAAAAAAAAACATTTTTCGTTAATAATACATTTTCTCATTCACCTGTTTCATTCTTCGCCTACTGGAATATGCATATTTAATACGAACACAGAACCACGTGAAATCATTTAGATCTTGAGTGCTAGACATTCATTATTTGAGAAACAAACATGGTCTCATTCTTCTCTTCCTCTCCTGAGTTGCTCGTACGTCCCACAATCATACTGCTACATCTTCTAGTATTACATCGCAATTTGACAATTTTCTTTGCTGTTTTTCTGTCGTCACTGCCTTAGTAATATTGTGGGTGCTGGCACTCTGTTGTTGTTGTCGTCGTCAGGTTCGCATTATATGTCGAGTATAGAAAAGAAGGAAAAAAAAAACCAAAAAAAGAGAGAAAAAAAAAGAAAATAAAAGAAAAGAATCGGCCAGACAGCACGACTAAGATGACGCGGGACTTAGAGCAACAAAGGAATACTGGAATAGTGTTGATAAGATATGAGATCAAAGAGAAAGAAAGAATGAGCTTTTGTTTTCCTCTTATTTTTTTTTATATTGCTTGGACAAATAAATAATAACTTAACAAAATTACGTAAGTAACTTTTTGTTAACGTTTTTATTAATTTAACTACATAAATATAATAATATTCTTTCAAATAATAGACAAAAATAGTCATAATATTCTTAGATAAATTGATAAAAGTTCTTCAGTAAAAAAAAAAAGTCATTATTTCGCTCCTGGATTTTTTTAATTTTAACTAATTAGCAAGGAAATAGGGCAGACATCGGTATAGTGAGTATATATCATTATTGACCAGAAAACTGCACCTTTTTTATTTATTGTACTATTAATTTCATTATTCATTAGAAAATATGCACTAAAAGTGTTAACTTAGCAGCGGTATTAATTAATATTCATTAACACATTTCTATATTAAAATTATTGAAATAATTTTATGCATTTATGTTAGTGTTAAAAAATATCATTGAATATTTTTATATAAGTATTAAGTTAGTATTCTCATAATACGAATGACGATCGTAACTATGTAAACTTTTTTTGAGATAAATCAATTTAGCTCGAAAAAAGAATAGTGTATGTTTATTGAAATCTTCTTTGTACTGACTATATTAGAAAATTCTTCTGTTTGCATTGGATTTACATGAATATGTAGTCAGAAATACTCATTATAAGTACATATAACTGTACATTTATGTAGGTTTCATAAAAACATAAGAGTTTTCGAATTGTGCGTCTCGAAAGAAGATTTCCAAAAACAGAAAATAATATAATTGAAGCTGTAATGATATGTCTGCAAAAAAAAATTGACGTGATTATAGTTATTGTTTATATTATGTTAACGCTAACTTAATATTAATACAAAAGTGTTAAATTATTTTTTTTAATACCAATTTAGAAATGTTAATATTTGATAACCACTTATGCTAAGCTGACGCCATTGACTTGGACCTTTTTGAATGCGTTTTTTTAAAGAAACTATTGTAAAATACGGACTACATGTCTTAAGTGGAAAAAATAAAATGGAACATAGAATGTAGGTAATGGTGTCAGATGGTTGAATGTCTTATATCTATGTCTTCGATCGATCTAGGTCATCATTCGAAGGTTGCCTTTTATGGCCTTGACATTCATCACTTAACGCCATCTGGAATTCTATTTTTTTAAAATGATATTGTAATCAACTAAATGCGAATTATGTTCAGATTAAGTTTCTTTTTTTATTTAACTAATTGAATAAAATTTTAAATTCAGCGACACCTATAAAATTATCGCTATCTTCACTTTTAGATCGTTATCTAAATAAAAATCTAGATTATACATAAGTTTTTAATCTTTTTAATTCAAATATATGTATCGTTTGATTGGTACGATATATCATTTTGTTTATTTTAAAAAAAATATTTTTTTTTTTATTTATTGAATTTGTTGAGTCATTTATCGGCTGTTCTTGATAGAAGTCACCATTTATGTTAAAGATTAGTGAGGTTTTTTTGATAAGAACAAATATATGTATATATGAATTCCTCTAGAAGATATTGTCTTTCTTTATTCAACGTTTATTGAGGAAATTGGTATTGTCTTTCTTACTTAATTGCTGAACAAGCACATGTGTTTGATTAAAAGTATCAATAGAAAAATATTTTCGCGCTTTTAACTCACGTTTCTTTGTCTCTTCTCTTTATTTTTTTCATATCCTTTATTCATATATTTCTTATTTATTTAGTCGAGTTTCTCTTCCTACGTTACCTTAACAAATACACAGCCCACACACACGCAGTTTTCTTCTTTTTTATTATTCTTTTCTTTCTCTAGCAGGTACATAAAACTTCAGAAGAATAAACCAGTAGAAACTAATAGACACGTAGTAACGGAAGAAAAAAAAAAGAGAAGATGTGATCCTTTTTTTTTCAAGTCTTTTTTTTTGTTCTAGGTTTTGTTTATTTTTGTTATTTTTGTTTGTTTATTGCTCTATACTGTATTTACATGCATCGTCGAACAGTGATTTTCTAGTCCAGTTCCCTTTTTTTCACAAATAAAACATAGTATCATGCATTCTACAACCGGTCAAACATCATCAACAGTATCATCATCTTCAAATTCTACATCATCAGTATCATCATCATCTAAAACAACAACTAATATTGAACAATATCATTATCCACCTATATCAACACTTCGTCGACCGAGTCGACCAAGTAATATTGATTTATCTGTATTTGATGTAAATAATAGTCAGCAATCCAATGATCCTGGTATATATTCAGCACCAATATGTCATTTAAAACAAAGTCATAATACAAATCAACATCATCCACATCATATACAACAATCATCATTAATTTTATCACCTCATCCACATACGGCTACATTTCATTATCAACCACAACATATTCAATTGTCTTCTCATCATCATCAACAGCAACAACAGCAACATAATATTCATCAATATCAACAACAAACTCATCATCATCATCATCAACAACAACAACAACAACAACATCTGCTAGATCCTTTTTCTCAACATCAACATACACCTCATACATTTCCATTGCAAACATCATCAAATCATTATCAGCATTATTTTCATTTTCCACCATCAACACAACATCTTGGAACAACAAACAATTCAACACCACCAACATATAATCAATTAACATTACAAGTAATATAAATATTCTATTAAAAAACATAAATATCAATTTCTTTTGTTTATATAAAAGGCTAATGTAACAAGTAATGGTCATCATTCACCATTAAATCATCGTTCAAATTCTGTAGTATCATCATCAACAACAAATACAAGTCAACCATCAACACCCACGCACAATAATCGTTTACTTGCTGTACAAATTCAAGAACAACAACAATGGTCTAATCCAGTTTTAAGTCCATTTATGGTTAAACGAATGAATGAAGGAGGAAATGTTGTTACATCAATGAATATTGATGATGATGAAGATCCATCAGCTTCTATAGATGCTCTTGTTGGTATGTAAAAAATAAAAACTTTTCTTTTTAGTTATTAATTCACAAGGGATTTCTTTTGTAATTAGCAGAAAAAAAACATTTGATAAAAACTAACTCAAACGTTTTTCAACAAATGACGCTTACAATTAAAATATCAAATAAAACTAAAACGGAAACGTTTTAATTCTTTCTTTTTTTCTTAAAATACTTTTTAACTTAATCTATAGAAAATAATCAGTATATATTCTACTACCGTTAATAAGTAAAAATATGACATAAAAGAAACTAAATTAGTCATTCGATGTCATACGACCGTAGTGTCACGCCTATAATGTGTTATTATATTAGGTCTAACAGTTTTATTTTTACCGTTGACATTCATTTTCATATTTAAAGTGTATTTATTTTTCTGTTAAAAAAATGAACAGCACAGAATTTTTTTTTTTTACTTTATAAATAATTAAAAATCCAATTTTAAAATATAATTTTCTTTTTTTTTAGCTGATGTTGATTCAAATTCACATGATTTACTGGATGATCAACAAAATAAATCTGTCGATGAAAATAAAACAACATCAACAACACCATTAAATGAATCTCGAGCAAGTACAACATCACCATCATCACATTTATATCTTCGTAGTACATCACATATATTAACAACACCACCAAATCCACTTGCATCAAATGATCATCCAGATAATCAATTAACAGTTGGAAATAATTTTCAAAAAACCTTTAGTCCTATACATAGTGCAGGTTTTGAATTACCAACAAATCATAATGTAAAAATATCATCATCAACAACAACAAGAACATCATTTTTTACATTTGATGCAAATGTTCTTAAAGAAAATGATTTAAAAAGTCGTTTAAATGATGAAAATAAAGAAGATAATCAAGATCAAATGACTGAACCATTAATTATAAATACAGATGAACGATTAAATATAATGTCAACTAATAGTTTAAATCAAGATGATAATAGTAATCATAGTTCGACTAATAGTAATAGTCAAAATACATCATCAAGAACTCGTCAGATTTTACAATCATCAGGAGGTTAATTTTAAATTTTTTTTTTTTTAAATTTATTTTTTATTCGAATATTTATATTATAGAAAAAAGCCGATTATCTTCTTCATCAACTGATGTTAAAGTATCACCATTAGGTTCAACAAATAATAATAATAAATCTCAAACAACAATGTCTTCATTATCACCTCAACAACAACAAACAAATCGACATTATTGTGGTTATCCGGATTGTGCTAAAGTAAGTCTACTCAATAATTCTTTTTCTACAAAAAAAAAAAGTTCTTTTTTTCTTTAGATATTTTCTAATAAAAGTGCATTAGCTAAACATAAACTTACACATTGTCAAGATCGAAAACATAAATGTTCAAAATGTAATAAAGGTTTTAAACGACTTGATCATCTGTAAGTTAATATTTAAAGAAAATACATTAGTTAAATTAAGATGTTTTATTATTACATAAATGATTATAAAATATTTAATCAAGATCTTAATTATGAAGAAAGTGAAAATTGCTCTTAAATCTTTTAGATTCAAAATTTCACCTAATTGGATCTGTATATAAAAAAAAAGATGTAAAATGAACCGAGTCTAAGGTGTAGTTAAGAAATTTCGAATTCAACAAATTTGAATACTTCATATAAAACTATCATATATTCAAGAATAGAAATCAATTTCATCACTTTTAATGGCTTCTTTAATGTGTTTTTAAGAATCACTATTTACCTTATCAGTCTAAGTACACATTCGAACACTTTTTATTTTATTCTTTTCTTTTTTCAAATACATACAATCCTATTTACTATTTTGAGTTAAATTCAATAAAGTAAACAGTTGTAAGGTATTTTCAAGAAAAATTTGTTTCCCAAAATTGGCAAAGTAGTTTTTCATAGGTAGCTCAATATGCTCTATCCAATGACACTAAACAAATTGAAAACAGAAATTCGGTAATATTTTGAATTTCCGGCACCTTAATATTAAGCTTCTCCTCAAAAATCAATCTTGAATTATGAATATTCAAATCATTATGAAAGATATTTAACAAGTTAAAATTCTCTATGAGCTTTCATTCTATATGTTTAACGTTTGTTCTTTTTTTGGTTTAATAGAGCATGACAGAGCTTTTGTTTTTAAAGTTGTTTACTTTTTAATCGAAGAAAAATTCCATGGCGCGAAAAATGGCGTTCTAATTATATACGAGTACTCTTTGATATAATTGTAACAAAGATTATTTCAAACAAGAAACTCTATCATGCCCTAGATCTTGACATGTTCTTTCAAGCAAATAAAAAATTAAATATTTAGAATAAAAATACACAGAATTATAGGTTGTGCGGTATAAATAGCGAAACCTTTCCGATTTCTTCTAAAAAAAAAAGTCTATTTTTAAAACAAATGATGACAAAAATAATCAAAAATTTTAGAAAAAAAAAAAATTCATATTGTTTGTGAAAGGTCAGACCTCAGGCTATCTTTCTATGCATTTTAGCTAGTATTTGTTCAGTTTTGAGTGGGAGATGCTTTAAAGCGATTGATTTGTAATCTATAGTTTTTTTTTTCATCATTATCTTACTTTTTTATATTTTTCCTTATATATTTAATTTCTCTTTTCAATGCATATTTATTATAAAACTATTTTAAATAATTATCAAAGCTAGCATAAAAATATTCCCTTTTGGAGATTAGTTCATTCTTTATTTTTCTTTCAATCTCAAGAGTAAAAAATCAGAAATTATAATTAATTGTGATATGGTTTCTTATTTTTTTTTTTTGTTTTAAAGTCATGGTCATATGTTAACACATGAAGAAGAAAAACCTCATAAATGTCGTGTACCAGATTGTAATCGAACTTATTGTGATGCTCGATCATTAAAACGACATATTGAAAATGCTCATCAAAATATCTTAGCTGCTATACATCAAGGTGGACATGATGAATATAGAAATTTTTTACCTGAAACAGCATCTGTTAAAACAAAAGAATTAAGTAGTGATTTTTCAATTGATTCAATTGATCATAATTCACCTCATTCATCATCTATGGATAATGAACCAACATTTCATATGACTCAACAAATTCGATCAACAAATGGACATAAAATAATACCAACATATACGTATGTTTATTTATTATATTTTCTATTTAACAAAATGATCTTATTTTATTTTCTATTTAGATTTGATGAAGAAAAATGTGTTGAATGTCATATTTGTAGAAAAAGTTTTAAAAATGGTGCAGCACTTAATGGTCATATGCGTTTACATGGCGGATTTAATGATGTAATATAAATAAAATATAATTTTCTTCTTTTTTTTGTTTCTGATTAATTTATTCTCTTTTAAGAAACAAGCATCACCATCATCAATTGAAAATATACCGAAAAAAAAACGTTCAACACATCCAATAAATAATGAACGTCGTCATACAAAACGTAAACGACCTAATTCTCCTTCAACATCAAATGATTCAAATCTACAATCATCAATACAATGTACAATGTCAATTAAAAATGAAGAAGAAGATATTATTATGATACCATCAACATCAAATACAAATAATAATCTTTATCAACAAACAATGTATCAAACAACATTACCACCATGTTCAGATGTATTACATCATCGTTCGTATGATCGAATACCATCATTACGTACACGTTCAATATCATCATCTGT